CCCCATACGCCCAGCGACTGACCCCAGAGTGGGAACTGACAGGAGCAGCCGCGTCCTCCTCCGGTGAGCCAATGCGCCAGGCACACCGGAAGGCAGCGTCATCAGTCAGCACACCGGAGCCAGTGGTGACTCACTGTGCTCCAGACTTTCTGCATCTCCGAGTAGGAGATGCATCTCAGAGACCCTCAAACATCCTCCCAGACCCTGTACCACCCTGTGGACAGCACCACAGAGAGGATGGCCTTGTTTCTGGGTGGGGGTGCTCATCTCTCTCAAGCCCCTGGGCTAGGGTGCTCAGGGGAAACTGTAATATCTTCACCACACCTTTTCAGGTAGCCCTAGCCTCTTGGGAGCCCCCACAAAGGGAGGAGAGCACCTCGCCAGCTCCCTCCACTGGGTCAGAGAGTCCTTCCACACTCATGGGGCCAGAGCCTGATGGGTCATCTCCTACTGGACTCCTCTGGCTGCTCAGCATTCCTCCTGTTCATGGGCAGTGCCAGGCCTGGACATCAGACCACAGATGACCCAAGGAAAATGAATCATTGCCTCCCCACCTCGCTCTCCACATTCCGCTTTCACTAATGAACCCAGGTAGGACCCACCCCACTTCCTCATAGATCAGGGAACCAGGAAGGGTTCCAAGGTCACACAATCGCCCCTCAAAGGGAGGGCTGCACCATTTCTGAGAAGGAAGGGGGCCCTCCAGAATCCCTTTTCTCCTCAATTAGGTGAGAGCCTGTCCAGCAGAATCCAATGCCTGAGCGAGAAGTGACCTGGCCATATCAGGATTAATCATTGTTAAGGTTCCTCTTTGTTCAGGTCTAAGCCAAGTGTTGAAGCCGTCTACTTTCATTCTGGTCACTGGGGCCCTGTGACTGAAGCCACTGGAAGGGAAGGCGGGCTTGGCTCTGTTGCCCTTGTTCCCCGCCTCCTGATTCAGGCAGGGCATGTGGCAGAGGCCCAGAAATTCTGATGACACCTGGTGGTTAGGTTTGGGTAGGTGACTTGGGGGTATAGCACGGCAGCGGCAGTGTCTCAGGAGAAGGGGTAGACAGAGGGGGGATGGCTGGCTCCAGGCTGTGGATGTCAGGGAAAGTGCAGCCATGTTCTAGGGGCCAAGCCAGGGAGCACCATCAGGTTTTAGCAGGGGAGTGAAGCGACAGCTTCCCATATAGGAAATACCACTCAGGGGGCTGAAGAACTGAGTGAAATAGGAAAGGGCAGGAAGCAAACCCACACTCAAAGGCTGTTTTCTGAATTCAGAATAGAGGTGAGGGGGCTAGGGCAGGGAGGGGGGCTGGCATGGGAAGAGAACAGACGCCAGAGATTTGGGGAAATGGGAGAGGAAAGCCTCCCTGCCAATTCTGGAGGAATCGCAGGAAACAGAATACAGGATCTCTTTCACCACACAATCTATGTCAGAAGGTAGGAAATTTGGAGTTGCCTGCAAAGGAGCAGTATACCTTTTTCTCAAACAACCCTCTGTGTTGCCATTTGTCAGGCTGAGCAGGCAGGTGAGGACAGCTAAGGTAATGCACAGATCTAGAATGAGAACATCTAGGTAGGAGACCTCAAGGCCAACCTGACTTCCTACCACCACCTCCAGGAAGTCCACCCTGACAGCACCTGCCTCCACTGCAATCACACTCCTCCAAAAACCATCTGCCTGGGTTGTTTTGGGTCCATCATGCTCATTGCTTATCAGGCTTATGAGACTCAGATCTTGCCTAGAAAAAAGGGACAAATTCAGATGTCCCCCAAGTCTCCTTCCTGGTGGAGCTGGGCACAGGATGAACAGGAAACGGGGTTCAGGACTGCTTGAGAGAGAACTCATATGATGTCACATTTTATTTTGCAATCATGAATGTGGCCTCCAGATGCAAGGGGCAACTGGACAGAGCAGAAGCCTGTCTGGGTTGGGGTACTGAGGCCAACGAGGTGCCTCTCCTGGCAAGAGAGCACTCTGAGCCCCAGGCAACACAGAAGGACTCTCTGAGGTCCACTAGGGCAGGGTGGACTCTCAGCACCAAGTCCCTCCCTTTTCAGCCTGAAACCACTGTTCTTCTCTAAGCTTCCAGCCCAGAGGGTGGCAAACCCTTCTGGGAGGTCAGAGCCAATCTACTGCTTATTTTTGCACAGCAGTGAGGTCAGAATGGTTTTCACATTTTTAAATGATTAGGATGGGGGGAGGGGCACAAGGGGGAAGATGAGAGTTTTGTGACAAGAAAACTGTATGAAGTTCAAACTTCAGCATCCATAAATAAGGTTTCTCAGAAAATAGTCATGCTCACTTGTTTACATATGGGATCATCTACGTTGGCTTTTACACCACAAGAACAGAATTCTGTAGTTGTGAGAGCACATAGCCGGCAAAGCCTAAAATATTTACTCTCTGGCCCGGGAGAGAAGTTCGCCAACATTTGTTCTCCCATCGCCACACTCGCACACTCTGGCTTCAGTGCACATCGGAACCATCAGTGAGGCTCTGTGGTTCTCCTTGGGCAAAAGCAAGTGCCCCCACATCCACTGGTGTTTCCGGTGGTACACGTTTTGCCCCAGCTCTGGCAGGTGTCCTAGGAAGCCTCTCTGCTGTGTGTCACTCCCTCTCTGTGTGTCACTGTGGGGGTGGCTGTCACCATGTGCCTCTGACGGCATCCAGGATTTGATACAAACACGTCGCATCGCAGCTGAGGAATTTCCAGGCCCTGTGTTGCCAGGCAGCAGGACCACTGGGCCCAGTCCATTCAGACCTGGACACGGATCCCTCTGTTCAAAGGTGGCCAAGGCTTCTTGGGGCCTCTCGTTCAAAGCCCCCAGCACACAAAGCCCCCATTTGGGGCATCAAGCCTCCACTCTCATGTCCTTCTCCTGCACAGGAAACACAGTTGCTCCAGACCTCGGCTCCAGGCCTCGGCTCCATGCTAGGTGACTCTCAGGGAGGCAAGACCTTCCTGCCACTGAGCTGGTCTCATGCGCTGTGCTTGGCACACCTTGGTTCTGCCCTCTGGCAGATAGCACAAGATGTCCCCTGCTCAATCAGCAGCAGCCTCGGACAATGGAACCTTCTTCCCTGGGAGGCCCAAGGAGCTGGGACATCAAGCTGAGGCCATGTCCCCAGGAAGAAAGCCACCTGTGGCCTTAGTTCCAGTGATTCCTGGCCTCTTTGTTGAATCACAGATCAGCAAACCTGCCCATTGTTGTGCTTATTTATTCAACGCAAATTGGGGAATTGTCCCTAAGCAGGAGCATGGCAGGGAGGAGTGACTGCATAAAAAAGGAAGAGTCCCAGAATGTTTCTCCAATCAACCCCCTGCCAGCCTAAACCTTACACAAAATAGGACCTTAATGGATACTTTACCCTGATTAGTTCTTTGTATACAGGTAAAGGGTCCTTAGAGAGGAGTCCCACAGACACCTGGGACTCACCTCACTGAAGCTTGTCTCAAGACAAAGAGCCACCAATGAATTACGGATGGCAGGGGTGCCTGTTAACACCTGCACTTATTGATGGGCCTGCCTCAGTGTGTTCCAGCTCTAATTTGGATATACAGATTTCAGCTTGTGTCCAGACTGGCCTCCCTGCTTGTCCTCCCCAAGGTCAGTGGGTAACAGGAGCCCCAAAATTCTGCTTGGTACTAGGGGCTTCACCCACTCCACCTATGCTCAACGCCAGATTTAGACTGCAGTCTCCAAAGACAATTTGGGTGCTACTGTTGACCCTCTCACCACCACCACCCTGAAAGCACAAATGACTTGATCCTCCTCAGAAGCCCACAGCCACTCAGAAGCTAATAGCCTGACCTTCAAGAAGCTTGTCAGCTTCAGCTCAAGCCAGTCCCCAAACAATTTACCTTCCACAGACCCAGTGTAGATTCCTTCATCCCTTACCAACCCCCCCCCCAACAACTCCCAAACAGGGTTGCTCACAGCAAAAGCTAAATGTTGTGTTCTTTCTTTTTAGTGAGTGGGGGTTGGTTTGTGAAAGGCTGCTGGAGGCAAAGGAGGGGATCTGACACATCTGCAATGAGAAGTACAGAAGAGGTCTGGACAATTAGCAAGGTCCACTACCCCTCCCCCAGTATCTTCAAGCTGGTTCCAGGGCAGGGGCTCTCCTCTCAGCTCCACCTGAGAGGCCGTAAGCTTCCGGCTGGGCTCCCCAGATCCAGGCATGGGCTCTAGGTCCCCGCTGACCTCACAACCCGCCAAGCAACTGGCACGGGTGTAGCCCCCGCCTCCTGCAGCTGCTGCAGAAGCCTGTGCCTTTAGGGTGGCCAGCGAGGTGTCTCAGGCAGGCCCACTCCACCCCAAACAGCCCGGTGCCCCTTTCCCACAAGCCCTTGTGGAGTCTTGCCCAGAAGACAACTGAAGCCCAGGCATCCTGACCCCTCCGCACCGCACCGCGGGAAACAGAAAAACCATGCTCTTTTGAACAATCCACAACATGTCACCGCAGGAGGACATTCTGTGCTGGCCTCCAGCCCATCCCCAATCAGCACACCGCTGGTCCACCCCTCAAACCCGCGAGGTCTGCGCTACCCTGTCCCCCCATCCCCCAGCACCGCCTCTCTGGTCCGCGTAGGCGCGTCCTCCCCCCTCCCCCGCCACCGAGTAGGGAGACAGGTCCCTGGGGTCCCTCCAGCCTCAGCGCCTTCAGTGCCCGACTCTCCCTACTCCGAAACAAGAGGGGCTCCAGACACCAAGGCCGACCCCACCCCCTGGGAGCTGCCTGGCTCCGAAGCCGGGTGCACTGCCCCTAGACATGGCGGGGGGAGCGGGGTTTCGGGAGTCAGACTCGCGCAGGCAGGGAGCAGCGGCGGGAGCAGGCTTCATTTCGGAATCCGAGGGTGGCCCCGCGCTGCCCGGGCCCGCTCTCCGTCGACCGGGGCCGCGGCTGGCAGAGACCGCTGAGCGACAGGAGGGGGCCACGCTCCCAGAGGGACGAAGGTTCTGGAGTCGGGGAGGGGGCTCGAGCGTGGAGGGGCAGGGACAGCGGCCCTTACCTGCTCGCCGCAGGACCTGGCCGCGGAGCCGCGGGCCAGCCCGGGACGGACTCCGTGGGGAGAGCGCGCGGCGGAGACTGCGAGCCCCGCGCCGCGGGGAGAAGACAGCGTGGCGCCGAGGAGCGCGCCGAGCCCGTGTCTCCGCTGGCCGCGGGTGTCCGTGGGTCCCTGCGCGGCG